GCTACATGTCCTGAGTCAGTACTAGAGCCAGTGTCCATGAAAAGAAATCTCTTCCCTGCATCATTCCTTTGACTATGTGTTAGTCCTCTTCATTGGTTTGTTTTTATGTCGATTTGCAAGTGGTTTGTGCAATAATCCAGAACCACGTGAAGGTTCTGCTTATTAATGTAGTTCCTCACTCCAGATACTACCTCATTGGAACTACTTCCCTATTCATTCTCCTATTCTTTGTCAGTTTTGTAACTGAGCATTTATTACTGTTGATGAATAGCTAAAAATTAGTCTTGTAACAAACTCGGGTTCCTCAATGTGAAAGCAATTACAGATTATGCATGTGACATGCCCTATTTTTGCAGCAAGGATCGAAGAAATGGTGAAACACACAAAAACAGAAATTGCTGGAGAAACTCAACAGGTCTGCCAGCATCTATGGAGAGAAGGCAGCGTTAATGTTTTTAAGTCCAGTGCATTTGAAATGTTAACTCTGGTTTCTGTCCACAGATGCTGCCAGATCTGCTCAGCTTCTCCAACAATTTCTGTTTTTGTTTCAGATCTCCAGCATCCACAGTTCTTAGTTTTATTGTAACAGAGAAATGGTGCTTGGTATTCACATTGCCCACAGCTGCCGACAGAGTTTACACTGGTTGCTATGTGGATATTTACATCTGATGGCATATCCAATGTGGCACCCTCTCCTGGGCATATCAAGAAACAGGCTGTTTAACAAATCAGTTTGAAGAATCTCACTGAGGCAAGTAGGACACGGGCAGATAAAGATGTGCTGGCACTTTCTCACATTTGGCTGCATGCTGAATGGCTGTCAGATTCCTGCTGTTGGTCTCTTTTCAGGGAGGTGGCTTCTGACAATGATCTTACCTGCTCCTCAATGACTGCTAGACAATTGAATGCATTCTTCACAGATCATCTGCACTTCCCCTCCACCGAGGTCTGTGGCCATTTAGGAATGGTGACAGCCTCCAGATAGCAAGCTGGGGTGGGTGGATCTTGCAGTTACCCAATAAGCAACTGCTGGGCTGAAATGGCCATTGCCACCATTGGTCATCCTTTGGAATATTTTGCCCCCTGCTGTGATAGTCTGGATGCTGAGCTCACAGTGTACGTTCACTAATCTTCAGAGGATGACTGCAGCCCCACACGGTCTGCCAACTGCAGTGGCTGCGCTGCCTTCTCCTGTTGGAAGTGTTGCCACTCAGAGCCTCAAACCGCTATAGATTCCACCTGCCATCTGATTGACGAGTTTCCTGGAGGTGGCCTCTTCATTCTTTCCTTCCTTCAAAATCTCTTTCATGGTCCTTCTTTGGCTACTTCTGTTTCCCAACCTACTGGGAATGGGACCCTGGAACTAAAATCCAGCCTGCAGTGTAAAAGTCAGGAAGTATAAGGCAGGAAATATAAATTTGGTATAAATCTTCTAATCCTAAATCATGTACAGAAAGGAAAGTGACTGTTGGGAAATTCAGATGAGATTAATTGAGATAAAAGCACAAACAGTAAAGGAAAATAATTTTCAAAATGTTCTCCAGCACTGATTATCTTCAGAGGGAATGAGATAGCACATATTCTCACTTGTCCTCAAAATTAATTTTACATATGAGCTGATCTACGTTATAAGCACACCTTGTTCACAAATGCATCAGCTCTCAATTTCTCTGTTGTCTTTAGTGGGGAAGTAGTCGGCAACTAAGTCAAGTTTCACAGTAGCATTCATTTCATTTCATGATGTGGAGGTTCCGGTGTTGGACTGGGGCGGACAAGGTCAGAAATTACATGACACCAGCTTATAGCCCAACAGGTTTATTTGAAAACACAAGCTTTGGATGCGTAGCCCCTTTGTCAGGTGAAGTGAGAAAGAAGCAGACAGCACACAGAATTTATAAGAATACACCCCACATATTTATATGTGTGTGTGCGTGTGTGTGTGTGCGTGAGGGAGAGAGAGTGTGTTTGTGTGTGTGTGTGTTTGTGTAAGGGAGAGAGAAGTGTGTGTGTGTGTATGAGGGAGAGTATCTCTCCCCCCCCCCCCCCCCCCCCCCCCCCACACACACACACCCACACACACTTTCTCTCTCCCTTACACACACACATATATATACATCTATGGGGTGAATTTGTATTTGCAGACACATTCTATTTTGTTCAAAAAGCACGCAACTTATAGACAGTCTGTCAATGTGGCATTTTATAAACTTCTACTTTAGAAGTAAAACCACTCTGGCTCCAAACTAAAAGAAAAACAGATTCTAAACAACGCCTGACATCTAACATGCATTGTCTGACCTAAAATGTCACCTCTTCTTTACACTGATAAAACCTTTAGTTCCCTCAGGGAAGTGATTTGAAAGGAATTCAGGGATTTACATATACATATTAATCAATTAAAACCTTCTAACTGCTTAAAGCTTTAACAGCATCTTAGGTTTATTTAATATATCCTCATCAGTTGTGTGATACTTTGATCTTTTACTTATAAATTCTGTGTTCTGTGTGCTCCTTTCTCACTTCATCTGATGAAGGGACTACACTCTGAAAGCTTTTGTTTTCAAAATAAACCTGTTGGACTATAACCTGGTGTCGTGTGATTTCTGACCTCATTTCATTTCAGTGTTGAATTTGTTGTGGAGAACTGCAACAGTGCACCCCGATGAGGATCAAGATTTCTCTGAAAATGTTTGGTTTTGAATGCTCAACTGCACGTGTGTTGGCAGCAGAATTGCTGTACTGTTAGCTTCATCATTAACCTTGTAACAAAATCCAGTCCATTATGTTTCTCATTGCTTTTTGGAAGTTAAAAAATATGTAAAAATGTCATTGTCTATTAAACTTGCTCTTCCTGTACTGGTTTCCCTCATGACCCTCTACCCTAATTTTAGTGGGTGGTTTATTGTTCCATTGTTATCCTGACACTTTGATCAAAAGACTATTCTTTGTTTGAGAATTTGTCAGATATTAGCCCCTGGGGTTTATATAAATTGACTACAGCTGTATCCTTGCTTGACACTTACGGTAGTCGTTAAATAGCAGGAGCTGGAACAATGCAGATTTGCTTTCCGTCTCATTTCATACTGATTAAAAAAAATTTTAATTTGTGATCTTCCTGATTATGGTTTAGTAATGCACTGCATGATGCACTCACCAGTGGAGTTAAAGGAGAGATGGTAGGAACTGCAGATGCTGGAGAATCTGAGATAATAAGGTGTAGAGCTGGATGAATACAGCAGGCCAAGCAGCATCAGAAGAGCAGGAAAGCTGACGTTTTGGATCTAGACCCTTCTTCAGAAAAAAGAGAAGTGTTTTTGTAGATATTTTTTGTATTTTTAAGCAAAATCACTGTTTGTGTTTTTAGAATGCACCAGATGTTATTGCACCATAGCCCAACTCATAAATTGAGATAATGTTGGAATCTTGGAAGTGAGTAAAGTGTATGTTAACAATACAAACATTGTTGCAAAACTAGCAAAGCTCAAATCACTGAATCGGGTCAATCAATATAGTTAACATTTCAGATTATACTGCATACAATTCCAGTTTGGAGCACAACTAGAAGTGAGTGCTAAGGTAAATCACAGAATTGGCCCTGAGTATGATAACCTATCTTCAAACCTTTGTTCTCAGCATGAAGATTCAGCAGGTAGCAGCAGAGTCTTGCAAAATTACCTCTTGTGTGTTGAGTACCCTGCCACGACAATTAGAGTTTAAGAAATTTTAAAATGTTCTAAATGCTTCAATTCTGAGAATGTTTTAACCGTTTTGACTTCAATAGATCATTGTATTTGAGTTAAATAATAATTGAATGAAAAGTTAAATTTTGTATGTTTCTTGGGAAAATTTAGGTGTGTTTTTCCCATCTCTGTCAAGTCTATTCTCCAATAAAGTGCGAGAGAGTGATCGAGCATTTACCAACAGTGCAGTGTGCACTGGCTCCCAGGTTGGGTAAGTCATATCTTTCATGTTTATTACAAAAAGTCAAGTTCCTAGGCTGGGGTAGAAAAGACCAGACTTGGCAACTGATGAGAATACTGTGTATTAACACAAAACTGAGTTGAACAAATAAGTTTATCACCAGCATTACAAAAAGAACAAGCAAACTTATTTGAAACATTGTAGGCTAGAAATTACTATTGCTATGATTGGTACATTATTGAGATTCTACTTCTGATACAATGCTGTAATTTCCTGAAATAAAAAAAAGGAAAGTGCTGGAGAGAGAAACAGAGTAAACATTTCAAGTCCAATTTGCACTGGATTGAAAATGAGCAGAAATTTAGTTCTGAGACTCTGGTATCCCTGCTGAAGCAGTCACTCAAGGAAACAGACAATGGACTTGCTGGGCTTTGTTTGCTGTTGTCTGTATGGGTGGACTGCACTTACCTGTCTCCATTTTTATCTGTCATGACTGGAGAATCATCTTAAGGTCTGCCATTTTATCCTTGACCCCTTCTCATTCTCAAATGTTTGAGGCCACTTGACAAAACCTGAAAACACTCTCATTTTTCAAATATAAATTGATGACACTGAGTTTGAACTTGCCATCACCTTTCTCACCATTCCACTATCTGTAGATTGCTTATCCATTATTCAGTACTAGATTGTCAGAAATGGTCCCTGATTAAATATTGGAAAGACAGAAACCATTGTCTTCAGTGCTTACCACAAACTCTGTTCCTTCTCATTCTCACTCCCTGATCACTTTTTGTGACTAATCCAGACCATTTGCAGCCTTGGTATTATTTTTAACAGTGTGATGAGCTTCTGCACATATAACCATCACCAAGACTGAATATTTCCACCTCTGTAATATTGCCTGACTCTACTCCAGCTCGTCTTTGGTGATGAGGAAACTTCGAGAGACATTTCTTTAGGTTAGAATTAATAGTCATGTGGAAAAATGTGGGTTGATTTGGAAGACTTAGCATGGACTTGGTAAGGGAAATTGTGTCTAATTAAGTTGTTGGGGTTTGTTAAAGAGGTAACAGAGAGAGTGACTAGGACAAAGCTGTTGATATGGTGTACATGGATTCAAAAAGACATCTGATACAGTGTAACATAACAGACTTGTGAGGAAAGTTATAGGTTATGCAATGCAAGGGACAGTAACAACATGGATGAAAATTTGGCTGAGGGATATTGAGGAGTGAGTAATGGTTAACAGGTATTTTTTGGGTTGGAAGAAAGTTTCTTGTGTGATTCCCAATGCCTGGTACTGGACCTTTGCTTTTCCTGATTTTTATAATTGATCTAGATCTTGGTATGCAGGAGACAATTTCAAAGTTTGCATTTTGCAACACAAAACTTGGAAAAATTCTAAATAGGGAGGGGGGTGGTGTAGACCTTCAGATGGACATTGGCACATTGGTGAAGTGGACTGATCGTGGCAGGTGAATTTCAGTGTGGAGAATCACAAGGTACTTTGGTACAAAAACATAAAGAGACATTGTAAAACAAAGGATACAATTCTAAAAGGTGTGTGAGAGCAGAGTGACCCGTGTGTATATGTACCTATGTCAGGTGTCAGGACAGGTTAAGAGAGCTGTTTATAAAGCAAACAGTATTCTAGGTTTCATTCATTGAAGTATGCAGTACAAATGCATGGAGGTTATGATGAAATTATGATGAAGCTGGTTAGACCTCAACTGGTGTATTGTGTACAGTAGTAGGTGTCACATTATCTGCATGCACTGGAGAGAGTGCAGAAGAGGCTTACAAAGAATGGTTCCAGGAATAAGACTCAGTTATGAGAAAAGATTGGATAAATTAGGACTGTTTTCCTTGAAGAGGAGGAGGCTAAGACAAGATTTGAAAGAAGTTTTCAAAATTATGAGGGGCCTGGACAGTGAATAAGGAGAAACTATTCACACTCATATTTGGGCTGAGAATGAGGGGGCACAGTTTTAAAGTGATTTGCAACAGAAACAAATGTGAGGTGACAAAAAATGTTTTCATACAGCAAGTAGTTAGGTTATTGAATTCACCCCCTCCAAGAGTGTTAGAGATTCAGTTGAGGTATTCAAGAGGGAATTGGATGCGTATTTAAGTGGAAACAATGTACAAGGGTTACAGGAAAAGGCAGGAGATTGGCATTAAGTTAAAATACTCAAGAGAGCCAGTGTAGACGTGACAGGACAATGGTCACCTCCTGTGCTGTAACAATTTTGTGATCTGCTGCTGAAACACTCCTGAATCCTTTTGTTATCTGCAGGCTTGGACTATCCCAATATCCCTCTGACCAGCCTCCCACATTCTACCCTCCATAAATTTGAGGTAATCCAAAATTCAGCTACCCATTTCCTAACTCCTAACATACTGGTCTCTGAACATCCTTGTGCACCGTGACCCACACTGGTTCCCACTCAAGCAATGCCTCTTTTCTTTTTTAATTCTTATCTTTTTCTTCAGATCCCTCATCTACGTTGCCCCTCACAATCTCCATGATCTCCTTTTGCCCTAAAACTCCACAAGGTCATCTGAATTTCTCTAATTCTGATCTTTGAGGAACATCCTTGATTTTAATTACTTCACCATTTGCAGCCATGCTTCAACCATGAAGTCCCTAAGCTTTGGGATTCCCTCCCTAAACCTCTCTGTCCTCCATTAAGATGCTGTTTAAAAAGGTTTGATTAAGATTACTGTAACCTATCCTAATATCTGTGGGTTTGGTTTAGTGCCCATACATGCCGGATTGTGTTCGTGGTAAAGGCAGTTTATAAATAGAAACTGTAGTTATATTTTCAGTCTCCTTTACATGACGTTACCATGAACTGTCTCAAAGCATGATATTGAACTGAAATTTCTGATGCTGTTCTAGAAAATAATTCAGTGAAAATAAGCAATTTTAGTCGTTGTGTTAAAGGTGTCACAGATAAACTGTTATTGCCATAAATGTGCCTTACAAGCACTGCTTGGACAGAGGAATTATGTACAAATATATGAAATAGGAACAGAAGTAGACCATTCAGGCCCTTAAGCCAATCTGTCATTCAATTAGATCATGGCTGACCTGTTTGTTTCAAATTCCACGTTCTCATCTGTCCCTGATAACCTTTGATTCCTATGGCTAACAAGAATCCATCCACCTTGTCTTAAAAAATATTCGACGACCTTGTCTCCACCATCTTCTGAAGCAGAGAGTTCCAAAGTTAGAACATAAGAACCAGGAGCAGGAGTCAGTCATCTGGCCCATCGAGTCTGTTCCGCCATTTAATAAGATCATGGCTGATCTTTTCATGGCCTCAGCTCCACTTACCCACCTTCTCACCATAACCTTAATTCCTTTACTGTTCAAAAAATTATCTATCTTAGCTTTAAAAACATTCAATGAGGAAGCCTCGACTACTTCACTGGGCAGGGAATCCTACAGATTCACAGCCCTTTGGGTGAAGACGTTCCTCCTCAATTCAGTCCTAAATCTGCTCCCCCTAATTTTGAGACTATGCCCTGTTGTTCTCGTTTCACCTGCCAGCGGAAACAACCTCCCGGCTTCTATCTTTTCCCTTCATAATTTTATATGTTTCTATAAGATCCCCCCTCATTCTTCTAAATTCCAATGAATATAACCTCAGTCTGCTCAGTCTCTCCTCATAAGCCAACCCTCTCAACTCAGAAATCAACCTAGTGAATCTCCTCTACACCCCCCCCACCCCCACCACGACTAGTGCCAGTACATCCTTTCTCAAGGAAGGAGACCAAAACTGCATGCAGTACTCCAGGTGTTGTCTCACCCACATCCTGTACGGCTGTAACATGACCTCCCTGCTTTTAAACTCAGTCCCTCTAGCAATGAAGGACAAAATTCTATTTACCTTCTTATTTACCTGTTGTACCTGCAAACCAACCTTCTGTGATTCATGCACAAGGACACCCACGTCCCTCTGCACAGCAGCACGTGCAATTTTTTACCCATTCAAATAATTTTCATATCATTATGACATAGAAGTTACACAACCCTCAGAGATAAAATCGTTATCTTTGCAGTGAATGAATATTTGCCATTGTATGTTGATGAGCTGATTTTTTTCTGTAGGACATTAATAATCGGAGCTTTTGGTTCAGTGTTGTTGGACTGGTATGGCTGGGAGACTGTGTTCTACTTTTCTGGCCTCCCTTCCATTCTGTGGGCCTACTGTATGTGGAAATATTTCCTTAAAGAAGAAGGTAAATATGCATTTTTATTTTGTTATAGTTCCTGCCTTATAATTTTATTGTCAGTGAGATGTTCTATTCCTTTGTGCAACTATCTTCATATCATTATGACGTTCATAATAATTTATGTCATGTAGACCAGATTATATCTTTGGAAAGTTTGGGCAACAGTCTAATGAATTCAAAGGACGATAAAGTCGCATGGAGAAAACTGTTTAAAAGTGCTCCTGTCTGGTAAGTGACTGTAGTGTTTTTTCTAGATGGTAAAAGAAAGAAAGAAAGAGAATTTATTTTTCATATAGCTTCTTTTAAAACATGAGATATAAATATTTCCCAAGACATTAGGAAATGCCCCTGGTCTTCTTCAAATTGCACTTTTAGTTTTTTTTTAGTTTCATCTGGAAAGACAAATGAAGGACCTAATGAGACTAAGCATCTCAGCTGGAAGCTGGAACCTCTGATGGTGCAATGCTTCCTTCCTATGGCCTTAAAGTAGCAGTCTGGATTGTGTATCAAGGTCTGGAATGGGCCTTGAACTCTTGAGCTTCAAATGAATTTAAATGTAGCCTAAAATATGACTTCTTGTGACAGGAGGTTATAATGAATAAGAAATTGGTATTTTCACTCTCTAAGAGACTTTTGTGACATTCTGGAAACAAATATAGTAAGTGTACAAATTTGAAGATAAGTTACCCTTTGGTACAAAATGTACCCAATGTTGAAGTGACCAGAATGTGGAGGGAAGCATTGTATCTCCAAAGGTGAGCGATAAGGGATTTTTTAAAAAACCCTAGTTGTAATGTATTAAAATCTGAATATATGAAGGGAAAAAGATAATCTAGTCAATTCTGCAATTGATATTTAAGAAAGTAACATTACGATTAATTTAAGTAACCATATAGGACGTTCTAATTTGCATAGCTACCATATGTACCACAAATCCACTAGGAACCTTTTCATTCATCACTTAAAAGGATTTTCCTTTCTTCTGTTCTATTTTCTTCCTTTAGGCTTGTACTTTTGAATTGTTATAGGAATGATTGCAGCATGTGAGGGTTGGTCTGTTAGTATTGACAATCTATTGACTTCAAATGACATAACGTCCTTTTTTGAGATTATCGTATCGCTTTTGATGCTTACCTCGAGTCTTCTATTTTAAAGGTGCTATAAAATGCATGTTTTATTGATTACAAAAAAGTTAAGTTGTATTGATCATCTGCCAATTTGTCACTAGGCATTTTTAACAAATATTTGACAGCACAATTCAGCACACGCTGGATATATCACGATATTGCAAGTGTGCATAATGCTGGATACCAATTAGCAAAGGCATAACATGCAGCTATTACCAAACATTACGCAGCATGTAAAGTAATCTTTGGTGATTTTATTTTGTCTATAGGAAATGACATTTCAGGATGCTGTGATTAAGTATTTGGAAAAGTTTTTTTTTAAGTGAAATTTGAACTTCTTGTACTACACTAGCTTACTGAGATGAGATTTCCCTTTTACAGAAAAGGTTTTCTAGTCTCTAGATGGCAGCATTTACATTATAATTAACAGTTATGTACTCTGCAGATGCCTAGTAGTTAATTTGAATTGTTTCATGAGTGGGTAGATTGATATTAAGAGTTTATGTCTGTGGCTCAGTTGTGGCACAGCTATCAGACTTTGGACTTTTTTTTTGCTATCCATAATGTTTTAAACACAATTAAAGGACTTTAGATACAAATTTGAGACGTATCATTTCTTCACATTTAAAAAAATATTGAATACATTTTACCCTCTTTTAAATTGATGAAAGATGGTGGTCAAGGTTTAAAGATGAAGGAAGAATACAAATCTAATTACACTATGGACTGTGAATCAACAATTTGCTTCACTGAGAGGATGTTCTATATTCCATGTTTGAAGTTCCTTTACGTCTGGTGAAAATCAGGCAGGGGAGTAAAAATGGAATAGGGAATTTGCCTACTATGCCCCTGCCCCAATTTTAAGTCCGCCCAAAGACAATGATGTTTGTCTCTGAATATGTAGATCAGACTCTGATAATGCAGTTGCCCTCCATTTACTTTACTAACACAAGGGCTAAGCAGTGGCAAGGCCTGAAAAACTCTGGAAAACTTTATTTTTCTTTTTGATTAAAAAAAATGAAATTGTGGAGATGTGTCTCGCAGCATCTGGAGAATGCGAAATAATTTTAATGCTTCAGGTTAATGACCTTTCATCAGAACAGGGAAAAAAATGAAATGCAACAGGTTTTAACAAGTATTGAGGCTGAGAAAGGAGGGGATCTAGGAGGAAGAGAGTCTAATGATAACCATGAATCCATTGTTGATTGTCGGAAAAATCCACCTGGTTCACTAATGTCCCTTCAGAAAGGAAACTGCCATCCTTACCTGGTCTGGACTACGTGTGACTCCAGATGCACAGCAATGTCATTAAGTCTTAACTGTCCTCTGGAATAGGCAATAAATGCTGGCCTAGGCAGCAACACCCTCATCCTGTGAATGAACTAAAAAAAAAAGAGGGCAGAACTGGTAAAATGACAAGAGGGATGAAAGGGTATGTTAACAGGAATATGACAAGTAGTGAAAAAGATGTATTTGCCTGCCAGTGTGACCGTGAGCTTCCAGTTGTCTGTCGTTTTAATTCTCTGCACCACTTCCGCTCTCAAGTCTTTGTCTTCACAATTCTGCATAATTTCAATGAAGGTCAACATAAGCTGCAAGACCAGTGCCTCAAGTTTTGATTTGACATTTTACAGCCTTACAAACTCAACATTAAGTGCAAACTAGAGTGACAGGGAACAGGAACATAAAAAAGGAGACAAGAGTAAGAGAAACAAGGATGAAAATGAACAATAGGAAAGTAGAAAGAAAAGCTGGAAGGTAGGAGAATGGAGGGTGAGCACTCGGAGGGTGGTGAACTTGTGCAATTCTTTATCACAGAAAGCGGTGAAGATGACATCGCTGAATATATTTAAGAAAGAAATAGATTTCGAGAAGCTAAAGATGTCAAGGGTATGGGGAGAGAATAAGAAGGTGACTTTGAAATAGCGAATCATAATAATCATGTTGAATGGTGGAGTCAGCTCATTGGCCACATGACCTACTCCTGCCTCCAGTTTCTGTATTTCAAAAAATACAGATCTTAGCCTCTGCACTTTGTTTTTGGATAACAAGCGCTAGTGATTCTGTATTCCCAATTTACATCTTCTCTGAATGTATCTTAGTGTTTTTTACTTGTTCCATACCCATTTCCTTTTGTCATTTAATCTTTTCTGCCTTCCACCTTATTCCTGTCCTTTATTTTTTCAAAGCCCCAGCAAAAACTCAGCTGTCAAATATGAAATCTATATTGATTCCCTGAGTAACTGAGTGACATCTAACTGTTGCAGAATAATGTTCTATTTATCTTTCCCCATCTCTTCCTTTCTGCCACTTGACATTGTTTAGCTGAATGGCCAGTAGCCTCCTTTCTCAAACATTTGATAAGTTGATTGTGTGTGCTGTGGTGGATTTGTGGGTAAAAATTTAGGAGTGAGAAAAAGCTTTTTGACCCATTGAACTCTCCCTTTTCATTGGTCAGGTGTGTATAGTCCATATTCATGAATTGTACTCCAACTTCACCCATACCCAAACTTATTTTTCTAAAGAAAGGGTTGGTAGAAATGCTCCCTAACTGGCAAAGGTGATCCAACCAAGCTCCACAATATCTGTGTTTGGAAACTAATCACCCTTGATTAGCCAACTTCTACAATTAAAGCAGCCTGCTGACAATACAGAGGCTACCTTACCCTCCCCAATCATTTCAGCCCATTAATTTTCTGTAATCTTCCATCTATTTCCAGCTAGAAATTCACTGATTTTGCAAAGATTTTTAAATTAAGCATTGACTTTTGAGCTGATGTTGTCTTTCACATCTCCACTAAACATGGGGAGTATAAATCATTTCCCCTATCTATAGTTCTGATTATGTCTTGTTCATTTTAAACTGGTGCCTTGCAGCTCTCTGCTCACAGCCCAAATTAAGTAGATGGATTACATCTAGACAATCAAACGAAGGATCCACATTGTGTCTTTTCTTGTGTTTCACCTCATCCTACACCTCTGTCAGTTCCAATTAAAACAACTTCTGTTAAAATATGGACTAAAGTCTCAAACAACTTTTTTTCTCCCCATCACAGAAGGAAAGCAACTTCATCCCTCCTTTGTATCTCGGAGGAAATTTACAGTTTTCACCACCTCAGCATTGGAGTTACTTTGATAGTAAACTTTTTTATGAAGTCTGCCTGTCTCACTGTCTGTTCCCTTCACATTTGTGGCTTTTTTCTGTCACTGTTACATTTATGTTATTTAATCTGTTGCATGTCATTCTTTTAATAATGTTTGTCTTTTTAACAGGGGTGTCATTGTAGCTCATGTTTGCATCAGCGGTACTTTTTTCTGCCTTTTGTCATGGATGCCAACATTCTTCCATGATTCGTTTCCTGAATCTAAGGTGTGTTATCTCAAGCCTGTGAACCGTATCTAGTTCTTTTATAAGATGTAAAAATGAATTAAGTAAATTATATTTTAATAAAAAAGACATTCAGAATTTTCTGATTACATGTGGTAAGGTACTATTTTCTAACCAAAACAGGATCTTCAAAAATATGTGTTAAAGCAGAAACAATTTCTATCTCTCTAATGGTTCTGTCCATTTTATTATTGTTCTGTGTAAACTGTAATGGTGACCATGGTGATGAGGTTCTGATCTACTTCACAGCATCAAAAGGAAGCAAACCCTTGTGGTTTGGCATTTCTCCCTCAAGGAAGATAAAAATCCTGAGTATTTGCCATTGGATTTCTTTTTGGCACTACTTTTTAAAGCACGTGGATAGAGTTATATTAGCAGAGATTTGACTGCTGTTTCTGTTGAAGAACGTTGCATGGTATATGGAGAATGTTAGAAAACCTGGAGCAAGATTAAAAAGCTAATAGTTGTACAGGCTCATTTTTAATTGGTGGGTATATGTGACTGTGCACAAATATTAAACCTTTAAAGCATAAACTTGACCACATCTTTAAAGTCCAGAATTGTTGTAATACATTTTTAATTCAAGAAATGACAAATCTTCACACATACTGTTTTGGTAAACTATGATTAAACAGCACAAAACATTTTTTCTTTCTCCTACTTCTTGACAAGTGTATAAAGGGCATACTGTAATGACCTTTAAGTCTTTTTTTAGAAACTATTAGAGTCTAATTCTTTGTCTGTGCTGATCTTGTCCCAATATAACTGCTGAAAACTGGCAGCAGATTTGCTCTATAAATATTGTAAATTCACCTCTGAGGGACTGGAGCCATATAATTGTAAATTGAAGCACATAGGTTATTTCTGTTTTTGTTCATCTGTCGTCCTGACAGTGGGAAAGTTAAGGGAGCAAAGGGAATATTTTGTACTTTTTCCAAAACACGGCTGCTTTCATATGAAAAAAAAGCTTTATTTCTGCTTTGTAGCTTTGCAATTGGCTGGAAAACCTATCCAGAGAGAGGAAGCAAAACCATCATTTTCGCTGAGAGAATTTGAAAGGCTTGTAGTATTAAGCCTGGCAGTGGCTTTATCTTATTTTCATTGATGTTCCTGTTACTAGGCACAGTTTGTTGTAATTGAAATTGTTTACCTAAGCAAGTTGGTGTACTTTACTATAAAATAATAGATTTTTTGCTTCATGTTGATTGTCAGATTCCAAGAAGCTACCTTAATTTGTCACAGTATTTGTTAAATTCTCCTTTAATTTTGTATAATTTTGGAAGATGTTAACACAGCTGCAGCTCATACTCTGAGAGCACTACACAATACACCTATGGAGTTGAAATTTTAAATGCCTTTGTCTATTTACACTCTGGAGCCAGGAAGAGAACAACCATCCTATTTAACATTGCACGGCATACCTAATTTCCATGTACAGTACCACAGGCTTCACCAGCAGCACAAAGTCAGAGAACTATCCATGTTGATACAGTAGGGTTTTGTAACTATTACAAGACTCCTCATTGAGAGTATTGTTATCATTTCTGATAGGGTTTCTCTTTGCTTCTGAGATGTACATTAACTTTATATAATCTCTCTTGCGCTTCCTTTGTGATTGGAAAAGAGAATACATTAGTATAAACAGGTGAGCAGCTGACAATATGGGAGTTTTTATTTGATTATAAATTTTTTGGACATTCAGATGCTAAGATTGAATGAATAATTTTTGGGTTTAATTTGAAGAAGAAAGTTCTCATTGCGATTGCATTCTGTCTTTGTCTTTCAGGGTTGGGTTTTCAATGTAGTTCCTTGGGCTGTTGCAGTCCCATTCTCTTTGTTTGGTGGCATTCTGACTGATCATCTGGTCAAGCTTGGTGAGAAATGAGCTCAGCCTTTCTTGTGAAACTGTATGAACAAACAGAAAACAAAATAATCTTTAACTGAAAATAATACAGCATTTCAAGGTTGAGTTCTAACGGAATAATGGAGTTGATGAATTTAATCACAGCCAACCTCAATACATCAATATAACTTGATCTGCTTAGCATAAATTCATGGATCTACTTAAATGAACGAAATCAAATCATCAACTTTCTAGTTATGCATAGCACATTTTCGTATTTTGTTGGCACTGCAGCAATAAAAACATAGACATACTACCCAAACCCATGACTCTTTGCCTTTCCTATATATCCCTCCTTTTTTAAAGAAAAGAGTTTTTTTGTGAACCAACTAACTTTCCCAACACTCACCCCTGCTTCACCCACAAGCCCTAACCTTTCTAAACCCTTAACCTTTAACTAATACCTTTAACCTAATACCTTGCCTGCCCCTAGTTTCTATCCAATTTTTGTCCTTCGCCGACAACTTGATTGTACCCTCAGGCCTTGTGCAATACCACGAGCTATCACTTCATAATATTTGATCAGGATTGGTGCAGTCAGTATAGTGGAACCATTTGAGTAACTAGTTGCCAAAACTTCACAAACCACTTTACAATGGAATACATTGGACACGCAACAATGGCTTTGGAGGTTCCTGTTCCACTTTCCAAAACAATTAGTGCTGTATTGTAAACATTGTTAAATTAGTCTGAAACATTGGAAATCTGAAGAACCCAAATTTCATTAACAAATAAATAATTTATTGTTCTGATAGACAGCCCTGATCTATTTCCAGTTTTCCTTGAATAGATGATCAGTTATGACGTATGTATTCATAGAATGTTATTGGGAGAGCTTCTGAGAACAGCAGGTTCTTTATGAAATGTGGGAATGTACAGTCGGATTAACGAATGATCTGAAGTGAAGGCACCCCTAGGTAGCAGCAACCGTAATATGATTGTGTCTTTTATTCAGTTTCAGGGAGAGAGGAGTGGGTCCGAGCCTATTTTTCAAACATAAATAAGAGCAATAATGAAGACATGAAAGCATACTAGGTTAAGTGAATTGGCAAATTAAGTTAAAGAATCAGTCAATATAGATGCAGTGGCAGATGTATTAAGTGGATATTTCAGAATATACAGAATAGTTCATTCCAACGAGTAAGAAAAATTCCAAGGGTTGGACCTGCTGTCTGTGGTTGACCAGGTAGAAGGTGATTAACTATGTTAACCAGGTTAAAGGTAGTATCACACTTAAAGAAAAAGTGTAAATATTGTTAAGACTGGAGGCAGGTCAGAAGTTTAGACAGCATATAAAAGAAAGCAAAGAACGATCAAATTTTAATAGAGAGTGTATCAGTGAAAGCTTCTCAGAAATATGAAAAATTTCTATAAAAATTAAACAAAGAACAGAGGTGACAAAGTGAGTGTTGGTCCTATAGAGAGTCAGACTGGAAAATTAAGAATGGAAAATAAGGAAATGGCAGATGAATTGAACAGATATTTTGCATCAGTCTTCACTGTACAGGATACAAGAGGATGCAAGAAGCAGCGATAGACCAGGCAATGGAAGGGAGGAACAAGGTGAGGGAAATGACAATCACCAGAGAAGAGGTACTAATTAATTGTTGGAGCTGTAGGCTGACAAGTGCCTGAGTCCCAATGGACTTCATCCTAGGGTATAAAAAGAGGTGGCTAGTGGGATATTTGGTGCATTGATTCTAATTTTCTAAAACTTCCTTGAATCAAGGACAGCCCCTTTAGATTGGAATATAGCGATAGTTGCTGCATAATTGGCCACTCTTAACCTTCCTGTATTTTTTATAACCTCCTAGTGTTCCCTTCACATTCTACTTTCCTACCTATCTTTATTTCATCAACAAATTTAGCAATATGCCATATGTCCCTTCATCTAAATAATTTATATGAATTATAAACAGTTGAGATCCCAGTACTAATCCCTGTGACACACCACTCGTCACACCTTCCTAAGCTGAAAAAAGGCCTGTTCATACCTACTGTTTACTTCCTGTTTGATACCCCTTTATGCAAAAGGGAGGAAAAGAGAAATTAGGCAACTACAGGCCAGTTAGCTTAACATCTGTCTCAGAAAAATATCAAAAGCTATTATGAAAGAAGTTAAAGAATGGCACTTATAAAAGTTCAAGATAATCAGTTAGAGCCAGTGTGGTTTTGCGAAGGAGAAATCATGTTTGACCAATGTATTGGCATTCTTTGAGGAAGTTACCCATTCTATGGCTAAAGGGAAATGAATAGATGAACTGTACTTAGTTTTCCAGGAGGTGTTTGATAAGGTTATTGCGAAAAATAAAATCTCACCGTGTAGGGGTTAGCATATTGACATGGATAGAAGATGGGCCAGCTAACAGGAAGCAGACAGTGTTTGAGAAGATGATGTGCCACAGGTATCAATACTGGGACGCCAACTGTTTGCAATTTATATAAATGATTTTGATGAAAGGATGGAAGGTATGGTTGTCAAATTTGCTGGTCACACAGTCATAGGTGGGAAAATAAGTTGTGAAGTGGACAAAAGGAGATTGTACAAATAGGTAAATGAGTGGGCAAAAATGTGACACATGGAGTATAGTGTGGGGAAATGTGAAATTGTCCATTTTGGCAGGAAGGATACAACAGAGGCATATTATCTAAATGGTGAGAGATTGCAAAGCTCTGAGATGTAGAGTGATCTGAGTGTTCTTGTGCGTGAAATATAACTGGTTTGTCTGTGGTATTTCAAGTAATTAGAAAGATGATAGAACGCTATAATTTATGATGAAGGGAATTGAATACAAAAGTAGGGGGATATGCTTCAGTTATTTAGAGTACTGGTGATACTGCATCTGGAGAACTGTGCACAGTATTGGTCACCTTATTTAAGGATGGATATAAATGCTGTAGAGGCAGTTAAGAAATGAATTTACTAGAATAATACTTTGGTTAGATGTGTTATCTTATGAGAACGGGTTGGATAGGCTAAGCTTGGGGTTATGTCCATTACCAATGTACTGGGGGTTAACATCAATCAGAATCTGGCTGGGCTAAAGATACAAGTACTGTGCCTACAGTTGTAGGTCATAGGTTAGGAATCCTGTAGAAAGTAACTCATCCACTGACCACCCCACCTCAAAGTCTGTCCACCATCTACAAAGCACAAGTCAGGAATGTGATCGAATACTCTCCACTTGCCCGGATGAGTGAGGCTCCAACAACACTCAAGAAGCTTGACACCATCCAGGACTAAGCAGCTGACTTGATAGGCACTTCATCTACAACATTCACTCCCTCCACCACTGGCACTTCGTAGCAACAGTATATTCCATTTACAAGATACACTTCAGAAATTCACTAAGGCTTCTTAGGCAGCACCTTTCAAACTCATGACCACTAGCATTAAGAAGGAAAAGGGTAGCAAATACATGGGAACACCATCAGTCTCAGCCTTGAAATAAACAGCTTTCTAATCATTATGGGAATCAAGGGTTATGGGGATGACCCAGGAAAGTAGAATTGAGATTTATCAGATTAGCCATGATCTAATTGAATGGCAGAACACACATGATGGACTAAATGGCGGACTTCTGCTCCTACATCTTATGATCTTAAGCCACCCACCATCCTAACTTGGAAATGTACTATCGTTCCTTCCGTGTTGCAGGGTCAAAATCCTGGAACCAACCCCCCCCACCCCAATGACATTGTGATTGCATTTACACTGAATGAACTACAGTCTTTAAAGAAATCAGCCCATCACCATCTTCTCAAGAGCATCTAGGGATGGGCAGTAAATGCTGGCAGAGCCAACAATACCCAGGTCCTAAGAAGAATAAAAAACAGTGTTGAGGAGTGACTTGATTGAAATCTATAAAACCCTGAAGGGTTTTGACATGGTAGATGTGTAGTGGATGTTTGCCCTTGTGGGAGAAACTAGAACTGGGAGTTGCTGTTTAAAAAGTAGAGGTTGCCCTTTTAAAACAGAGTTGAAGCAATTTTTTTCTTTGAGATTTGTGTGTCTTTGGAACTGTCTCCGTGAGAAGGTGAGGGGGTGGGTGCAGTGACTTTGAATATTTTTAAAACAGAGGAATGTAGATTTCAGTTAATCAGGGGTTGAAAGATTGTTGGAGGTTGATGGGAATATAGATTTGTGGTTACAGTCAGCTCAGCTATTATGTTATTGAATGGCTAGGAGGGCTGAATGGCCTAAATGATTTTCCTAGTGAGGAACTAGCTCGAACTTTCTTGTGAAACTATGAATCAACAGAAAGCAATGGAAAACAAGCTTTGGTTTTGGTGTCATAAATGTTTTGAATTATTATCAGGTCCACAGATCACTGAGTTTTAGAAAGGAAAAAGAAACTGCAAATTGAAGTAAAACATATGGGGGAAATATTAATATGGATGCAAAATGTATACAAATATTTGCTTGTAGTGATAATTCTATATTTGCATATTACAGAATTTACTCTCTATTTTTTAGGGTTTGACACCGCTAAGGTGCGTAAATTAATGCAGGTATGATGACTAGTAGTTTATTTAAAACATTCTTAAAATAGTTTGACTGTGTGAGAGAATGCAGTTAAAACCAGTTTCTTATGTTTGCCTTCAAACAGGTGATTGCCATGGGATTATCCAGTATCTTTACAGTATTACTGAGTTACTCAGGCAGCTATTACCAATCATTAATATGTATATCAGCTAGTTTAGGACTTCAGACCTTCAGTCACAGGTAAGCTAAGATTAGTTACGTTATATTTTCAGATCTCTGGCCATCTATTAAATAGTTTGATATTGTATATTGTAGACTTAAGGTATTCGCTTTGACTCAGTGGTTGGCTTGTTATTGCTGAGCAAAGAGGTTGTACGTTCTAGCCATACCTTACGTTATCAGTATTCCACTGGCAGAGGTGCCAACTTTTAGTAAGACACTAAACTAAGGCTCCATCTCATGTGGACATAAAAGATCCTTTTTTTATTATATACATTATACTTTATTTATTAAAAAAACTTTTAAAAAACATAGTCACAAACGCAGTTCAGTTCTGTACAATAGCATATGAAGAAAACAAGCAAACATTGGAGTTTGACTCTATCCAACAAACAAACAAAGAGCATCTCTTACTTGTACCAGACCAAGTGCACATAAAAATATCCTACTGCATTATTCAGAGATGAGCAGGAGACTTTTCACAATGCCCTGGCTAAGGTTTTCATTTCAAACAATACATAAACCAGATGTCATTTATATTATAGTTCTTTGTGAAAATTTGCTACATGCAATTTGGCTGCCCCAGTGTTGACAACACACAGTATATTTCAAAAGGATACTTTGATGCCTCTGAAATGCATTTAAGATTTCTGTGCATCTGGCTGGCATTATGTAAGTGCAGGTTGCACCTTCATTTTCCTCAATCTAGACGATAGTCATTATCTTTTAGTATGTAGTGAAAACACCGTACACATACCACCTTCTTTAACATTTTACCTGGTTTTATCATTACCTGATCATACCTTTAACATTTTACCCTCTTTAGCTAAACTTCATTTTTGTCTAATCTTGGAATACTTTTAGGATCTGAATTGATTTTCAATTCAATATTTTTTCATTTCACCTCTAACGTCACTCATCACCATTCTTGCCTTAGCCCATCTAACACTGAAACCTTTCTCCATATCTTTCTTACCTCCAGATTTGATTTTAGAAGTGCTCTCCTGGCCAACTTGCCATCATCCAAAGTGCTGCTCCCTGTTTCCTGTGCAGCTTTCCTAAATTCCTGCACTGATCTGTCTTTCCTCAGTGGTATCACTCTGGCTTCTGAGTGAGAGCATTATAGACTCAAGCTGCACTCCAGAATATGAATTTGTAATCTCATCTGACATTACTGTGCAGTTTAGAGGGATTGCTAGATTGTTAGAGGTGCTGCCTTTTGGTTGTTACATTAAACTGAGGTTGCTTCCGCCTTTGAGATGGATGTAAAACATCTCATTTTAAAGTAAACTGGTATCACGTCCAACATTTGTATTTTAATCCTAATCCATTCAATTAGATGATGTAGCTATTTATTCCTTTCCTGTTTCTGGGCCTTTGTGTGCAAAATGGCTGATACAATTGCCTTAGAAAATAACATTTCAAAGATCAGTCATGAGCTATGAAGTGCTTTACATGTCTGGATTACATGAATAATGCTTTTAACTGCAAGTCTTTCTTGTCGAACATTACATTGAGATCTTGTGTGTCTGATCAGGTTGTCAGGGATAATTCCATGGCATTATTTTTTTCCTCAAACAGTGGCAGTAAAAAACAGATTATCTGGTTATTTATCTCAGTTGCCGTTTCTGGGATCTTGCTATTTTCAATTTGTCTGCCGCATTTTAACAATAACAAATGCCCTTCAGAAACTCCATTGATTGTAAAGCACTTTTGAATGCCTGAGAATGTGATAAATGTGCACAAATGCAAGCTGGTTAGTTTTGTGCAGACAGTAACAAATCGTGAATTACTAAATTGAGTTCTAGTTTTGAAATTGAATTTTCAAATAAATGATTAAAGGACCTTTTTTCGGAAAGCTTGCAAATTTTATTTACCTGATGCAGAGTTAGTGCTAAATAGATTTAATTTTATTCCAGATGAATGCATTGTGCAAAAAAGTAAAGTTGAAGTATTTTGCTGTTCTCTTTGTTTTCATAGTGGGGTAACTGTCAATGTTCAAGATTTAGCACCATCCTGTGCTGGTGCACTGTTTGGTAAGTAACAGTTACAAAAACATTTTGCGTAGCTATATATATCCTGTACATTCTGTCATGTTAATAAATTTATATCAGAGGTTAATGATCATTGACAAGGCCCAACCATCATTCACTTACTTTCTAAACTTGAGCTTACAATGTGTGAAGTGATGTGTGTGAATCTGCTTTTAATCACTTTGGTACAAAGCATGATAAACTGAATTTATAGCACAAAAAGGTCAATCACTTAATCACATTAGTACTAATTCTCTGCAAGGGCAGTTCAGTTAGTTGCACACTATTTCTGTACCTCAAATTCCTTATCTTCAGGTACTTATCTAAGTGCCCTTTGAAAGCCAGATTCAATCCGCCTGCACCATTCACTTAATGCATTCCAGGTCCTAACTACTTTATTGCATGAAAATGTCTTTTTCTTCTGTTGCCTTTTACTCTTTTTGCTAGTTCCTCTGCCAAAGAGTATAAGCTTTTATTCCCTTTTCTCTCTCACCATTCTGTTGATCTTTCATGATCCTCACCACAACTGTCCAAAGCTCTCTTGACTTTCTCCTCTCTTTAACAAAAATAAGCCATAGCTTTTTCAGTCTATCCTTGTAATTATTTAGACCTTATTTTTTAGGGAACAATTTCAAAATTTTCAGATTACCCAAAACTTGGAACTACTGTACACTGTGGGAAGGATAGTGTGGAACTTCAGAAGGACATTGACAGGGTTGGTTATTGGGTGGACAAAGACAGATGAAATTTAATGCAGAGGAGTCTTTCTTTGAAAAGAAATCATTCAGTTAAGTCAAAAGAATGCAGAGGTATGCTACAATATGAGGATTTAATTCTAAAGGGGGTATGGGAGCAGAAGGACCTGGGTGTATATGTGCATAAATCATTGAAGGTGGCAGGAAAGCATACATTAAGCTAGGCTTTATTAACAGGAGCAAAGAGTTCAAAAGCAAAGATGTTATGTATAGAACACTGGTACGGTCTCAACTGACTATTGCATCTGCTTCTAAGGGCTTCACTTTAGGAAGGATGTGAAAGTGATAGATTGACTGTAGAAAAGATTCATCAGAATGGTTAAAGTGATGAGGAACTTCAGACACAGAGATAGATTTGAGAGGTTAGAATTCTTGGAGGAAGGAAGGCTAAGAGGTGGTTTGATAGAAGTGTTCAAAATTATGAGTGACCTGGACATAGTATATAGAGAAAAACTCTTCCCAGAGATGGAAAATTGAGAAACCGTATAAATTTATTCCATGCTGTTATCAAAGCAGAGTCACTTCAAATCTAGGCATTTTAGTTCATAGGAATTTACTTCAGTACCCAAGATGTCGTCTTTTTTCTTAAATAATTTTCCCCATTTTCAGTTACACCAGTTCATCTATGGATTCAGTGCTGAACATAAGCCCCAGTATTATATTTGGTTGGAAGGGTGAACTGATTCCTTTCCTAGACCTGCCCCTCCACTGATTGTAACAAAGTTTGAATTTCAAAAAAGTTGTTATAAGGAATTCCGTACCAGAAACAAGCCAGCCATATTTGTTTAATTAACAAGCAGTGTATGGTATATTACAACCAAAATTTACACAAGCAAAGATACAATGGTTATTACGAAAAGAGTTAGATAAGCAAATATATATATATAACTACCCTTCCTGAAGACTAGAATACACACATAATACTCCCACATCTGAAAAAAAAGTTTCTGCAGAGTATTATCTTAAAAATACTTCAGCCAAATGACAGTTAAAATCAGCAAAAATAATTATTCATGGATTGTTTCAAATATCAACTTGTAGCCAAAAGTACTTTGCGTACACAAGCTATTGGCAATAGGGAACTTGATGGATCAGTCATGGCGGCTGAACTCTCTTTTCTGGCGACAGCAATGTTGATTCTAATACCTTCTGTAAGAACCCTCCATGAGTGGTGAAGAATTCTGTTGCATATGGATCTTAATGTGCTAAAACTTGATTGAGTCCTATTAAGTACCACCTATGTGATGATGTCACAGAGACTTGATCAGTCAAGATGAGCTTGTATGAGACAGACCTGAGGTGAGTGTACGCCTAGTAGTCTCTGTAATAATGTAGGTCATAGTCCATAATGTGTAAATAGTTGCAGTGTTGCAATAAACTTCACATTATTTACTCAACAAACCTCTTCTCATTAGACCAGAGGCTATCCTCATCCAAATTACAACACTGCAACCTTGAAGACACCCACAGACACTACATAGTGAGTGGCAGTGTGGTGTAGACAGTGGGTAACTGCCACAGCTTAATCAACAACAGTGACTAGCACGATTTCTAAATGTTGCAAACTAAAAGAAGTTAGACAAAAACAAAATGCTGAAGATACTAGAACTGTGAAATAGAGTCATTGAGCTGTACAGCATGGAAGCAGACTCTTCAGTCTAACTCGTCCATGTCAACCAGATATCCTAAATCAATCTAGTCCCATTTGCCAGCATTTGGCCCATAACCCTCTAAACCCTTCCTATTCATATACCCATTAAGATGCCTTTTAAATGTAGTAATTGTACTAGTCTCCACCTCTTCCTCTGGCAGTTCATTCCATACACGCACCACTCTCTGTGTGAGAAAGTTGCCCCTTAGGTCTCTTTTATATTTTTTCCCTGTAGAAAGCAGACCTGAGGCACATTGTACTCCTAGCCATCTCTTTAGTAATGTAGGACAAAATTCATGCAATCTGTAAACAGTCGCAGAAATTTTGTTAACTCAACTAAACACTATCTTCATCCATGCTAGAATCACTAAAAGGGTTGACGGCACCCGAACACACAAAGATATCTGATGTGTTTTCAACTCATGTCCTTTTTATGAGGAGTTTCAGAGAAGCAAAGAGACAGAGAGAGAGAGACAGAGAGATGTGTTGTTGCTCTTCAGTCAAGTTATTTCTAATGTTGTATTGAAAATTCTTTGCACCTACAACCTGTATCATGTGAGCTCCCAATGACAGTATTGTAGACTGGACGTCTCTATCCAAACAACCTTTTCCTTGCAAATCATAGAATTTCTACAGCGTGGAAGCAGGTCATTCATCCCATTGAGTCCACATTGACACTCTGAAGAGCATCTCACTCAGACCCACCCTGTAACCCTGCATTTCCCATGGCTAATCCACCTAGCCTGCAATCCCTAGTCACTATGGGACAATTTAGCATGTCCAATCCATCTCACCTGCACATCTTTGGACTGTGGGAGGAAACCTTTGGACCTGCACATCTTTGGACTAGAGGAGGTGATGGCCTAGTGGTATTATTGCTGGACTGTTAATCCAGAGACCCTGATACGTTCTGGGGACCCAAGTTCGAATCCTGTCATGGCAGATGTTGGAATTTGTATTCAATAAAATATCTGGAATTAAGAATCTAATGATGACCATGAATCGATTGTTGATTGTTGGAAAAACTCATCTGGTTCACTGATGTCCTTTAGGGAAGGAAACTGCCATCCTTACCTGTCTGGCCTACATGTGACTCCAGACCCACAGCAATGTGGTTGACTCTGAACTGAACTGCCCTCTGGGCAATAAATGCTGCCGAGCCAGCGATGCCCTCATCCCATTAAATGAGTAAAAAAGAGCACCTGGACGAAATCCATGCAGACATGGGGAGAATGTGCAAACTCCACACAGACAGTCACCTGAAGGCTGGAATCG